CAGTGGTCTAAAAGAGTATGTATTTATTATAGATACCAAGTGTTCTAAAATAGTATATATTTATTATAGATACCAAGTGGTCTAAAAGAGTGTGTATTTATTATAGATACCAAGTGGTCTAAAAGAGTATGTATTTATTATAGATACCAAGTGGTCTAAAAGAGTATGTATTTATTATAGATACCAAGTGGTCTAAAAGAGTATGTATTTATTATAGATACCAAGTGTTCTAAAAGAGTATGTATTTATTATAGATACCAAGTGGTCTAAAAGAGTGTGTATTTATTATAGATACCAAGTGTTCTAAAAGAGTATATATTTATTATAGATACCAAGTGGTCTAAAAGAGTGTGTATTTATTATAGATACCAAGTGGTCTAAAAGAGTATGTATTTATTATAGATACCAAGTGTTCTAAAAGAGTATGTATTTATTATAGATACCAAGTGGTCTAAAAGAGTATGTATTTATTATAGATACCAAGTGGTCTAAAAGAGTATGTATTTATTATAGATACCAAGTGGTCTAAAAGAGTGTGTATTTATTATAGATACCAAGTGGTCTAAAAGAGTATGTATTTATTATAGATACCAAGTGTTCTAAAAGAGTATGTATTTAGTGGTTTATCTCTACATGATGGTAGTAAATACAATGTGAAGGTTATTGGCTGTAATTTAGCGGGATTATGTATATCTTCTGTATCGGATGATATTTTAGTTGATACAACACCTCCGACTAGAGGTAAGTCAAACAATATTCACATTTTAAAGGAATGCGAGTATTAAGAGAATATAAAATATGAAACAAATCTTTCATGAATGTAATGGGTATAGAGAATCTCACAGTAGAAAACGTTTTCCATTGGATTTCAGGAACCTTCGCAATAGAATCGAACCATGCTGCCAATATTAATCAGACATCCCGGTAGATGGATCGAATGGAACACAACATCATTGACTATAGCTTGGCTGGGATTTGCAGATCTTCATAGTGGTGTACAGTATTATCTTTTATCTGTTGGTACCAAACCATTTTATACTGATTTAAATAAGGTGTGTGAGTCTTTTTGTTTTCATCCTCGCCGATTTCATAATCATAATGTACTTTTTATCCTCTTTTTGACGATGTATGTCATGATTGGTATTGTATACGATAGGATGGTAAAACTGTGAAATACTTGCATGAGGATGGTAGATTATTGGAAAATGAAGGAGAAGTACAGACTAAAACAGTTGAAACAGCAGGAAATCTCGTCCATGGAATGTCTGTTTTTATATCTATTGTAGCTACTAATGGGGTAAGAACAAAAATATTTATATCTTATTTTACTTGCTTAGGCGTTCCAGGACCTGGTTTGTTTCTCAAAAATTCGTACGATTAATCTTTCATGTTAAGTAAAGAAATACGTGAAAATGTATTTCTTGAATATTCTTCTGTAAAATAGCATCTTGTGGAATACGTAATATAACGTAAGACGTTAAAGAAACGTTACGTTATTGACTGCCTTATACGCGTTTCTTAAAAATGGTAACGTTAAATTACGATTGAAAATAAGAGTTGAATAACTCATTAAAAGTTGTCCAAGGTTTTATTTTAAGTTAAACGTTTTTCCGGCGTAAAATATAATATCAAATTTTTTCAGAAAGATAAAGATTAACTTAAAAGGTTAGGATTGTATTGCATCTCACATGTATTTTCTACAGGTAGGATTAAAGAGTCAACCAATTCACAATGAATTTCAATTAATGCATGCTGACCTCAGAACAAACGATCATGGATCATTGGTGAGAAGATGCCGACCATATAACTGTGAAGGTCATTGTGTTTGTAGTGAACAAGATAAAATATGTCCTAAACCAGATGGTAATGGTTGTATAACAAATGGTAACACAAAAAAATATCTTTATAATATATATTATTCTTTCGTGTAACAATATTTCAGCTTAGCCATACAGTACATTTTGACAGTGTAGTCGATGCTCGAGAAATGCATTTTGTCAAATATAAAAATATATATATATATTTAAAATATGTTATGAGCATAACATAAAATATTCAAGATTGAAGGAGTAAAAGCATCCAGTTTAATCGAGACTTTATCGAACCTATAGTATCATTATTTACTTACACCCTTTCACATATATGTGATTGCCGCATATATCCTTATATCTATTTTTGTTTTGTAGACAGTGACATAGATTTCATTCAAGTTATAGATGTAACTAATCTACAATCAACTGATAAAGTTCAAACTAATTATACACCAACTAATATGTTTCTATCTGCTGAATGGAGACTTTTAACCAATACAACATCTCAACCCGTTAGGTATATTGCTATTATGTTAATATGTTATTATGCGGGCATGCGGACGATCTTCAAATAGCCGACCGGCTGCGGGCAAACGAGGAGACAAAAAATCTATAGTCGATCGTTTTCCACTATGTCGATAATCAGGTGCAGATCATGCAATTAATCTGATTAGACGATGACGTACGCACTGTTTTGCAGACGATAAAATATCAAACACTCTATATTTTTCATTACAAAAATTTTTCCGAGTAGTATGACTTCTCAGGTTCAGTGGCTGTACAAACTACATTTCAATGAAAGCGAATACACTAGGACATGGCTGAGTTTTCAGACTGTTTAAAAGTATAGAGCTTTGCGTTTTACAGGTACGAAGTTAGCATTGGTCTGTCTGACGAAGACCAGCCCAGTGGTGTGTTTGATTCATCTGCCGAACGACATTGGTTTGATGTTGGTCAAGATATGAGTACAATTATTACACTAACCAAAGGTTTGTAGAAACATGTTGCTATGATAATTGACACTATGGCATGCTTCACCAAAGTATGATCATATTAATACAGAATAATACTTGAAAACCCATACGACCATTTCGTAATTTTCACGTATTTATATTTATTATATTAACATTATACGTAATATTCTTGACTGTAGTGTATTATGTAGGTCTTAGTAACAGACAAGATGTTAGTCTAAAATAGATCTTTATTTCTTGTTGTGGGATTAAGTCTACATTATAATCTAGTCAAACAATATTTGTTTCAGATAATACCCTACATGATAACCTGGTCTATTCAGTATTTGTAAGAGCGTGGTATGATGATAAAAGATATTATATTTATAAATCACCTGGTATCACTGTGATCTCTAAACCTTCAACTCTGATTTACATAAGGGGAGTAGCCGTAAGTACACAGGATGTCAATTTGTCATGTAAAATACATTCCACTGTGCTCACATAGCTGTGAATATAATTATGTTAATTTTGTTATGCATATAAAATTTATTTAAAATTCTGAAATGTCAATCTATTTTATATTTTGTAAAATCATGACAAAAAGCCCTAGAAAAAAACCGAAGATAAACTTTTGAAACGGTAATCAAATATTATTTTATTTTTTAAATTTTTATTATATCCCAGTACAGGAGGAGTACTTGTTAACACTATGGTTTGTTTTGTTTTACCACAGGTTAAAGAATTAGAACAGACAACAAGTAATAAAGATATTGACTACCAAATAAACAACAATACAATAATAGTTGGTTGGAAAGATAAATTTAATGGTGGAATTCATGGTATAGATTATTACCAGGTTTATATCAGTACACATCCACAAGGTATACAACTTCTTCTTTTACATTTATGTACAACACGTTCCTTGTATTGTTAAATTAGATTAATTTTCATTCATTCTTTCAAACTTTTAGACAATGTAGAAATAAATAACAGATCGACTTGAGAAACAACTTATGCTGCTAGAGTCAAAAAGTTTATATGCTATTTCAGGTCACAATATCCATAGGACTGACACAAAAGTATTGCCACAGCAGAAATCATTCAGTATATCTGAATTAAAGTTACAAGAAAATAAGATATATTACAGCACAGTTTTAGCCTTTAACAAAGCTGGGTTTTGTAGCTGGAGCACCAGTGATGGCATCATAATTGATTCTACACCACCTTCAACTGGTATCATACATGATGGATTAGGTATAAGTGCGTTTATGGCATTAAAGTATATCTCCTGCACCAGGCAGGGTATGCTCACTCTTTTATACCACGTTTTTATTATAAAATACTTACTCATTGATCATGTAAAATGTTAATTAGCTGTTATCAGTGTTTTGACAAAATGTTGTGCTGGATTTCTGGTTTCGTTTTGCGGCTCGGATCGCTAGTACTTGGTTTATTTATGCATTAAATGATACTCGTCATTGAATATTTCTATTGTATAACTAAAAGCATGATGCAAGATTTTTTATATTTTACAATTTTTTTGTTTTGTTCCAGGCCCATACGACTCTGAATTCCAGTCATCTGACAGCTTGATTTCTGCTTCGTGGTATGGTTTCTCTGATATAGGATCAGGGATTGTGAATTATAACTGGTGTGTTGGTAGACTGAATGACACCACTACTTGTGATATACTACCATGGACTAATGTTGGTTTGGAAATAAAAACCACCGATCAATCGCCTGTTACACTGAAATCAGGTAAATGAATACAAACAATTCTGTGCATAAAACGAGAACGTTTTGTTTGGGTTACAAAGTCTGTTTTTTTTATTTTCTCATTATTATGGAGCTAAGATCTATCATAAAGTGTATGCTGTAGATGGTAGTGGTTTACAATCACAAGTTGCCGTCTCTAATGGGATTATTATTGATACTTCACCACCTGAAGCAAGTTACCTGGAATTTATTGGAGAGAATCTCATCCTTAATCCCTCATTTGAATCAATATCTGATGACACAACAACTTCTTGTAATTCTAACATCCCAGAACATTGGTCTACAGATTCACAATCGTGTGTTAAAACTCGATCATCTCAACATTCAACAGCTCATGATGGTGAAGTTTATATCACAATAACAGATCAGATTCAACAAACCATTCAAAATCTAGATACAGATTGTTCTTATCAGCTTACTGTACATGTTGGTTATCCACATGACATCTTACTATCGAATCATATGGTAGAAGGTTTTATTAGATTAGGACATGAAATAAACAGTTTTAAACTGAATCCAGATCTCTGTCAGGGTGATAGTTCTCAACTTGTCAATGTGATTCATTGGTATAAATTCACCTATATTTATCAACCAATAAATACACGAGAGAAATTAGTAATTGGTACAACAAGAAATAATATGATATTGGCTATAGATGATCTAGAACTTAGAAAAATAAATCATGTATCATTGAAAGATACCAACAATAATCATATAGTATATCACCCGACTTTTACACCTCACTGGTCTTCCTTACATTTTCACTGGTATTTTAAAGATAGCGAAAGTTCTATAGTGGAGTATCAGTGGGCTCTAGGTAAGTCATTTTAAGTCACATTTTCATCATTCGTACATTAGGTATATATCATGACTGAATTTTCCAAGACCATCGACTTTCTGACAAATATAATAGTGGCAAATGCTAACAAAATATGAAAATATAAGTTCTCATGACAACACCAGATCGTCCGTTGGACAAAAGCATTATTAGATGGCACATTAATAATCATAATATTATATGGATAAGAGTTAACATAATACGCAGTTTAATGACTCATACCACTTATATTTGTTCAGAAAACTCATTAATGTCAAGAAGTAGTATCAATGTTTATGTAAAATAATTGAACAACAAATACTTTATATTTAATCTATATTCAGGTACAGTGAAAGGTGGAACTCAGATCAGAGAATTTACAACCACTGGTGATAGAAATCACGTGACTGTTTATAATCTACCCTTGGTTCACAACTCTCGGCTATATTTCACTGTTAAAGCGCGAAATGGTGCTGATCTAACCTCTCTATCACATAGCAACTATATGTTGGTGGATACTACGCCTCCTGTTGTTATTCATATACACGACGGTACAGGTACGTGACGTTATACTGATTATAATATAGAAGGCACTACACCTGTTATTTATCTACATGACGGTACAGGTACTTGACGTAAATACTGATTATATTACATGTATATTAGACATTACACCTCCTGTTGTTATTTATGTACATGATCGATGACGTTACAGGTACTTGACGTTCTACTGATTATATTACATGTATATTAGACAATAAACCTTCTTTGTTACATATAATACAGTACAGGTAGGTGACGTTATACTGATTATATTATAGCAGACACTAGACCTATTGTTGTTATTTGTATACATGACGGTACAGGTACGTGACGTTATACTGATTATAATATTATAATTGACACTACACCTCCTGTTGTTATTTATATTTATGACGGTTATTTATATATATGACGGTACAGGTACGTGACGTTATACTGATTATATTATAGTGGACACCACACCTCCTGTTGTTATTTATATACATGACAGTACAGGTACGTTACGTTACACTGTTTTTATTATAGCAGACACTACACCTTGTTGTGATTTATCTACATGACGGTACAGGTGCGTGACGTTATACTGATTATATTGTAGTAGACACTACGCCTCCTGTTGTTATATTCCCCCAGTGGCCCGGGGTTAAGAATAGGTCCACCGNCCCCCATTGCGTGTCGTAAGAGGCGACTGAATTGGGGCTCCTCGTTTGCCGTGAGGTGCGACCCGTGTCGGTTTTGAATGGACTCCTGGTGGTTGAGGGTAACATACTTCCCAATACATCACTTTAGGCCAGGGGATTCTTAGCCGGGTGACCAGTGTGGCCCACACTGGTC